CTAATAACACTTCAGCGAGAGAAGATTGCAACCTCGTAAGAGAATCTATTCATAGTATGCAAACTATTATGTAGAGTACCTCCGATACAACTAATAACGTTTGCAATGCAGATCTTCATCAGCTACTAAGTGATATTTTTTTGAAGTAGATAATTATTAAAAAAGTTGGTTGTATAATGTATGTCTGCATCTGTAGAATTTTGTAAACTCAACTATTTTTCTGATCTGTTCAGAACAAGAAAGAAACGTAAAAAAGATTCAGAGTTACCTTTCCCCATTATCCTTTGCACTTCTTGGTAATCTTATTAAATATCATATTAAGAATAAGCAGTTACTTATTTATCATCCTCCAGAATGCGTTGGCCCACTAGTACAAGTTTACCACAATGTTTTCAATCAGTTCCTGCATGATTATCATAACAAAGATCTAGAAATGGGAAAAGAACATTATCAATGGGCTCTTAAGTTCATTTATAAAATGGCAGACATATATCCTAGTGAACATGAGTATTCTAAAAAATTTAGAGAAAAATTTCGACAATTATTTGGCGAAGAATTAAAAATAATTCACCTAGATGATGAATCTTCAAATGATGGTGTATTAGAATATAATTTCCATTCATTTAGTGTATTATGCCTACTTGCTGAGATAAGAATAAAATTGGCACCGGTAAATGTGATCTGACTACCCAGGCTAGGACTTCTTATATGAAATATTATACCCAAGAAAAAAATAAGAAATTGCTCAAATTGTGCAACTGGCTGTCTTTTATCTTATGCTTAGCTAGACCTTGGGTGTGTGTTTTAGAAGCAGTGTATGTTGAGAAACCTATTGTAGATCCCTTAATAGACCTCATACCTCTTATTTTTACAAATATTCGAGATCACGCAGAGCGAGTGGCACGACTATTCAAAGCTTTGTGTTTTGGGGTTAATAGGCTAAAGAAGTATTATGGATCGATAGCAAATCCACAAAATTCACAATAGTTTTTTCCTTATCCGAATCAATACAAACAACAAGATACAACTATAAAATTTACATATGAA